AATCCGCACTAGGAGGAGACCTGCATTACAGGTTACCAGCCTCTCCAAACTCTGTTTAGCTGAAAGTATAGTATAGTAGTGAGAGTTTAGCATGTGTGTATGTGTGTGTGTGTGTTTGTGTGGTGTGGTTGTATGTATATGCTCATCTTCAATCTCTTTCGATACACATAATCTTGTATTTTATTAGTATTTACTCATATTTATTTAAATTAGAAACATACTTCAGACTCTAGAGATTTATCTAGAAAGGCTAGAACAGATGGGTCGTCTGACGACTAGGTACTACCGCCTTTAAGAATCACCAGTGCGTTGTCACCATTTGAGTGTCCAGAATTAGGAGAAGGGTCTGGTTCTTCTGTACATTAACTGCTTTAGCGAAATGCAACTCACTACTATGCTGAGTGTTGTGGGTCGATCCCCACATAAGACGACACTTTGTGTGAGCCACAAATTGTTGTTCTAAGTCTGGGTGGTGTTCTTTGTGTCCGTTTCATGTATGTTTGTAGAGTCCCCCGCGACACAGGATATATTCCTAATGTTGTCTTTTTAAAAAATGGAAAAAAATTTTTTTATTATAACCATCACGATGTAAGCGAACTTAAGATGTCGATTCTTTTAAAAACGTTAATTATATATTTTAGCGTACAACAACGTAAATGTTTTTTTTCTTATTATGTATACGGGTAATTTTGGATAGTTAATTGGCATTATTAAGTGGACAAGTTTGTTAATTAAATCACTTTTATACAAAACGATTAATTATAAATTACAAGACTGCGAGGTTTATTTCAGTCGTGTTCTCTTTACAAACTTTATAATAATGTAATTGGATCTTCCGTTTTAATTTACAACCAATACCATAGTATTTTTTGTAACCTTTTATGTGATTTGTGGGATCGAGAGTAGATCGGTAGTGAATTTTGAACGAATTTTCATTATGAGAATTGACCTTCAGCTTGTGCATTTAATCATTTCTGGACGACACGGTTAAATTGTAAAAAAAAGGAACTAGAAACACAGCCAAAGGTTTAGTAGTTTGGCCCGTGGTTAGACAATGGGAAAATTTTAGCATTAAATTTCATATATAGTGAGAAATTATACGAACAAATTTCACAATTGACAAGTATATTATTGATAATATGAAAAAAGAAAATGTGACCTTTAAATTCGTCTAATGACATTTCAAACCTATGTAGTTATATCGAAGGGTCCGCGTGTCTTGAATGCCAAAACCGCCATGAAATATTATATGTCATTTTTTATAGATTACTACCAGCTTTTTACCGGCTTTCGCTGGCGTTAATGCAGATTTAGTCCAATAATTTCTAGTATCCCTCGTACACTATGTCTTTTTTACCACTGAAAACATGTTTCGATTCCCACCCAGCACCAATAATTGTGTGACTGATTTATTGAACTCGATCATTTGTTTCGTGTGTGGGTGTAATTTATCTATAAACATGTATGTATTTAGATATTTACGTACGTATGTTTATCAGCAGTCTGGTTACCATAGCACATGCTCTGCCTAGTTTGGGATCAGACTGCCGTGTTTGAGATGTCAAATCAGATGTGTAAAGCAATTATTACTGTGTAAAATATCTCGATGATCTATTAAGTACTTAAAGAGTGAATACGTAACAAATATACTAACTAACTTTCGTATATTGCCATCAACACAAGGATAATACATTAATGTTAGATCAAATATGTTACATATATGTTACACGCGGTTAAGGCGCCATTTTATACAGTCAAAATTATAAAGCAAACAGGAAATATGTCAAGCAAATAGGTAATTAAATATTTCTGAAAATGAAAACACACAGAGCGCCGATATGTACCTAACAATTGTTTTTACACGTACACTTCAGAACGTTTGACAAAGCAGCGTTTGAAGCGTTGAAGGGGTTTAGTGCGATTGGTGAAGCGTGCAGAGGGCCGAGTGCAAGTTTATTTCACATCGACTCGCTCTCGACGGCGAGCGCGTTTAGAGTTGCGATTGGTGGAGATTTCAGTGCGGGCCAATCGTAGCGCCGAACGCAGTCACCGTGACTATCGAGTAGATGTGAAATAAACTCGCACTTGGGCCTCTCGAGTGCAACGCTGAACGCTGTCACCGATCGAGTTGATAGAAAATAAACTCGAGTATAATTTCCATCAACTCGATCGTCGTCGACGGATCCTGAACGCTATTAAGCGTCGATAATAAGACCGCTAATTAAATTCGTAAAAGAAATTTTAGTTTAAAAAACTAAAACACACGCTTTTTCTGATGGATTTTGTGGAAAATTATTTTCTATTTTTTAGTACTAGTTTAGTTTGGATCTCTGCATGGTCAGACCACAACCCTGCATGGCAACAGAATACCTGTTTTACATTTAGGGGACGATGTTATGTTGACGATAGTGGTAACCGTAGGTGTCTTCGACATTGTCACCCGATTACGACCGACTTCATGTGGCTATTTATAAGACGAAAGGAATAACCGATACCTTTAACATTTGTAAAAAAAATAATTTATTTAGACTTCATTGGACAGTATAAAAGACGTTAGAGCATCGTACATCATTTTTTATACAATTACGTAGAATTTTTACATACTAGCTGGTTTGCGCAAATTGTCCCCGTTTTTCCTTGATGCTCGTCTCCTATTGATCGTAGCGTGATGCTATATAGCCTTCCTTGAGAATAAAGCTATCCAACACTCAACAATTTTTTTATTCGCACCAGTAGCTCTTGAGATTAGAGCGTTCAAAGAAACAAACAATACTATAAATTTATAATGTAATATTATTTATAACATTACTAGCGATCCGCCCCGGCTTCGCACGGGTGCAATGTAGATACTACTAATGTGGTGTCATTGTGGAGTAATTAATTCTACTGTTATTATGATAGGACTATACTACAGGACATCTTTATATGCAATATTTATGGGCCCGCTCCGATCCTTCTGGCCGCTGCCACCCGCGACGTACGTACGTGTCGAAACCACGACGGCCGCTTTGCCCCCGTAATTTAAATATCTTTTCCTCTAATATCTTTTGAAATAATCATTTTAATGATATGCTGTAAAAAGCAATTTTATACTATGTAAAGATTAGTATGGATATTTCAATCAATCATGAGCCTATTGCTGAACGAAGGCCTCCCCCAAGGAGCGCTAACTATCCCATATATATATTATTACATATACACTCATTGGTATTATCTAGTAATATGGCCTTTATAAGAGAATTACCCTTAATACGCCCAAATCACGCTACAATTCGAAGAGTGGTTTACGTCATTTGCTAAAAAATACATAAATAAGGCTTATATTACCATATGTATGGGTTATAATGTAATTTATTAAACCAAGAGCAAACAAAAGGGTCTAATCTCTCATTATTTACGACATTCTCATGAAAAATCCGTGAATATATATATAACAATTCAAAATAAAATTATTAAATCTGTTAAATTATTAAATTAACAATTCAGTATTATTTTGCAGATTTCACACGTATATCTATAATATTGACAAATGGTATATCTATAATATTTATGTACTTAGAAATATATATCTAAGTATGTTTATCAGTAATTTAGTTTGAGGTTTGAAAATTAAAAACCTATTTAATTTTTTACATCCCTAAAAATTCCTTACAATGAAGTTACTTGGAAAGCTTCATGTGTGTCCTTATATAGGGGAGATGGCTTTGTTTGACACTATATGTAGACCGTCTAGCTGATTCACAACTAATTGTAATGTCAGTGTTAGTGTTAAGTTTATTTTTATAAATGACTCATTTGTGACAGATGCATTTAAAGAAAGTCAATTAAAAATTCAAAACCATTTAGGAATGTGGACTTGTGGAAAATAGTTTAGTTTTTTTTTTTATTATTCTACAGAAGTCTTTGCCAATGTCAACAAATGAATGAAACTGTCACAAACAACAGTGAATAAAAATACTTTTTAAGATTTGTGTAAATATGATATTTTTTATGTTATGCATCATTATCATCATCAACAGCCTTTAATGGTCCACTGCTGGACTTAGCCTTACATTGGTAAGTCAAGTTTATCTTCCCTTGTGTTTTAAGTAAATACATTTCATGAACTATAAGAGACATAATAAAACATTTACCAGGTTTTTAGATATGATATAGCTTAACAATTCTTATTAAAAACCACTACAGCAAGTTTGTTAAGTGGTCAAAGTTCAACAATGTAAAAAAATATAATTGCATAATTCGAAGCAAAAACCAGTTTTTATCATTATTAGTGGCTATGCAAATATTTGCCTGTAAGTTATAGTTAGAAGGTCTAAATTAATACTTTTTCAAGTTTGCCTGATAATATAAATAATAAAATTATTAATGTTCAAATCAAGGAAATGGGCAATGTAAATAAGGTGTTACTGGCTTTTTCAAACCTTATTTGATATAATCTAATAGTTTTTTTTATGACCAAAAAATGTAATTATCAATGATGTAATACTTTTTATCTACATTGTAAATAATGTATACAAACAAATAAAGTGAGATTGTCTGTTTGTAATATCAAACATATCAGTTTTTTAACTAAACATTTACACAGTACCAACTATTTTTTTTTTGTCTCAGTGTTTGCTCAGTTAATCTCTAAAACAGTTGAACCAATGTTCACAGGACTTTCATTGGCAGATAACTAATGTTCTGAGGAGTAATTAAGACTTATTTCTGCAGCAGACATAAATGTTAGACTTCTAAACTAAACTGTGGTTTTTTCTTATTCTTTAAATGGTACTATTGAACAAAAATGTTTGAATTTGATAGTTTATTTTGCCACAAATGTGTTGTGTCCACAGTTTGTTGTACTAAGTAGTTTCTCAACGCGTAATTGTTAATGAAACTTGCATGCTAATTACTTACAATTAACCGCGTATAACAACACTTTCTCCCTAACATTTTTATCGTACACATCAGTTATGAATTAAATCGTGGCGGTAATAACATATTACTGTAACACTTACATCGTATGGTGCATTTTTCTCAGCAATAGAAACTTTGTCACGATCTGTAAAGAGGGAAATAGGACGATATGAAAATAGTGTAAATCGCCCCCATTGACAAAGTAATTATACGGTTACAATGGGATTATAAAAATGGAATGCGCTCTAGTATTATTTGATTTAGCAATGCACTACCATCGTCCTCCGTAGCGGAAGCTTCAGTTGTGTTATCCAACTTTTTGGATGCCGTACTGTCCATTACTTCGATGTGATCCGTATCTCCTGAAGCCATTTTTGTTTTCCTGTTACATCCCCTATTTTTATTTTTTTAACTCATATGCTTGCACAATAATAATTCTCATGGCTCACATCACACTTGTTTCGCTTACACAATGATTCACAGTAATTTAATTATGAGAAATCAATTAGTTTACGCAAAAACGCTCGCCCGTAGCATTCGTCTGACACGACCACTCATAGTAACTGCGCAATGTTGCTAGTGATGATTACAGCTGTTGATGAATTATGTTTTTTATTTATGGCAGCACTTGTAAAAAGATTAATGTCTCTTTATTTTTGAAAAAAAAAAACGGAAATAGTTACTCATTCAAAAATTATGTAATTTAAATCACACAATGCCTAAGTTTATGAAGTCACCATCAGCTTTATTCTTAACTAACCGAAGCCCTAGCCTAGCTGGATGATCAGGTCAGCTTTTGGCATATATCGCGACGCTTTGTGATATTAAAATGAAACATCTAATGCGGTGTGGCGACGTGTGGTTGCGGTGGTGGTGATGGTGGTATGGCTATATTTTATAATTTCCTTTCCCGCTCCGGCTCGTTCCTGCTGCAAAGGATGTCCGTTGCAATTCAGGAGGCAATGCTGCCAGTATCATGGGCACCTTTGCACCGGGAGCACGGTACAATTATAATACAGTACTCCAACTTCATACAAACTGACGAAACACGAGCTATACCTACGCGCCTCGATCTCGGGGTGCGCTCGGGGCGCAGACAGTCACGGCTGTACCGCAGTGTCGAACGAACGGTGTGTTGTTTTTTTTAACAATAACCGCGCGATTTTTTCTCTAATAATCAGTTAATATGACGAGTAGGAAATATTGTGCTGTTTTTGGTTGTATGAATTCGTCAATAACGCATTCAGACATAAGTTTTTTTAAATTACCTGGAAACTCTGAAAGGTAAGACTATAAAATAATTTTACTTTCTAGTAGGTAGGTACATAATGTGTGTCTTTTTAATGGATAAGTATTTCCTTTTATCTTACGAAATAAAAGGTGTTTGGATTAATAAATAAAGCGAATAGAGTAACTGAAAGTTATTGAGGCGAGTGAAATAGGTAGTTATATGCGGTTCTGAATGAATCATGATACGGTAGGTACCTACCTACTTACGCTTGTGTTAAAACTTCGGTGCATGTGTGTTTTGTTACCTTGCATAATTCAAAGTAAAGACGTGGTATTTTATTTTTAATAATATTTGTTTATTATCTGTGTGTATGAATAATACTAGAAAAATTTTTTTACCGTCTGTGTGTCATTAGATAGTTTTCGAAATTTTCACAAAGTGACAAAACATTTTAATTTGGAGGATGTATTACATTCATCAAATAGAAAACTTTTAAAAAAGAATGCCCTACCATTGTTGATGCTGCCAAGCTTAGCTAGTACTGATTCAGGAATATCTCTAAAAGAAGATAAACAAACCCAAACTGCTCCGTTGGTAAGAAATGAAAATAGTACACAGACTGAAAATGCAACAAATGAAATCTTTGCTCAAACCTCAACGAGTCTCTCTAGCAACACTCCAAGAAAAAGAAAATTGAAAGTTGAACTCCTCCAATGCAGAAAGAAAATAAAATAATTAAATCTACCAATCAAAAAACAACACGCATTTTTATTGAACACTTCCTATTCAATATACAAAGTATTTCATTTATTTATATAAAAAGGATATTTACAATCACAAATCTAAATAGAAACAGAAAGTAGGCAAATATAATTAAAATGCTGGAGACGGGCAGCCCTAACGCATGTTTACGTACCGCGCGGCTGTAGGCATTTATTTCTATCATGCGGCCGAGTTACACTACTGTATTATAATAGTACCGTGCCGGGAGCGACGCAGGGCAGGTTATATGATCTGACTTGAATAAAAAATAATAATAATTTCCTTTCAAAAGTTATCCCTTGATACTCATTATTTCTAGAAAATAATTTCCATGGTTCACGTCTGCCAAACTCCTGTACAGTCTCAGTTTTCTAGATTCGATTTAAAAAATCTTCACCTTATTTTGAATCGGTTTTATTGTTGTAGAAAACAACTAAAAAATACAAGGAATCTGTCAGAGATTAAAATGACTTCATTTGGCCGTAACCGTATTTACATAGAATTTGCTTATAAATTATATAGATATATTTGCATTACAAACTGTAACACTTGTCAACTCATTAAACTATTTTTTTTAAAACGTTTCCTCACTAAATATGATATCACCCGGTCAGTCCTCATGATGTATTATATAACTAGTCTAGAGGGGTGTAATACGTGACTTAGAAAAGTGTAACAACAAATATTACGTCTCCGTAAGTTTTCAATACGAAACACCTAACAACGAATTCACGCTACTTAGACCTCCGCAGCTGAACATAATACGTTGTAATTCGAAGCTCAAGTAATCAGTGCTTGAAGAAGCAAGTGTTTCCTTTTAAAAGACATCTACTGTTTTGAGAAATTAAATCTTTGGACATTTATTTGGATTCTAAAATGTTGTTCTTTAATTCTTATAACTAGTTAAAACCGCAAGTAGACTTTCAAATTGAGACATCTCTCGCTTTTTGAACATTATTTTGTATGGAAACACCATTAAACGCCATGTTTATTTCTTTTCCGTCAATTCGTTGCCGCGGTAAGATTTTTGTAGGTTATTGCTTTTCGAAGCGTCTATTGGATTTCGATAAATAATTAAGTAATATTTATGACATAAATTCCTGCAAAATTATCTTTATACTCTGGGTGATCAAATTTTATTTTCAGTTTCTGTGAAAAAGCAGTGACCGGTAGGATTTTTCAAGAATACATTAGAGCGGCGGCGTTGATGAAAATGGGTAAAAAAGTGAGAGAATACAAATCAGGCGACTTTATATTTGCTAAAGTTAAAGGATATCCAGCATGGCCAGCTCGGGTGAGTTTGTGAAACATAAAATTTAAAAGTGGATTCATGTTAGACTGCAAACTTTGTTGTTTAGCTGTTTTCATTGTAAGCAAGCGCGGGAAGACATGTTGTATCGTTTACTTGACGCCTTCGCACGCTACCGAGGTCGATAAATGCAAATAACGATGATATTAAACAAGTTAAATACGTTTTTTTATGTTGACATAGCAACAGTTCATAAAAGACAGATCTGTTTCCTGTCTCAAAAGGCTTTAATTGACGATTGCGATGTCTATCGTTTTCTAAACCAATCGTTTTGTTGTACATTTGGGGTTTTCCCACGAGTTTCTAGCAATTTTCTCTAATAAATCATTGAAAAGCATAATGTTATAAAATCTTGTCTATACTCATAGGTCAATGACATTTGTAGATAAAAGGTTTGCATATTTTTAAGTTTTTAACATGTTATTTAGGTATTGATTTTGTTTGTTTTAATAATTGTTTTTAAAATTGTTTTTCTTACATGAAAACAATTATTATGCCACAATTTTAATTATGGATAATTTAAAAGAAATTATACATTTTGATAGAAAACCTTTTACCCCACCAGAAAATTAACACTAACAATTAGCAGAGGAATTTCATAGTTTATAATAATATTTCAAATTAATTGTTTATTTAAATTCTTATAAGTTTCTCACATTCATTTCAATCAGTTGATATCTGATATATTGATAATGATAAATGATAATTATTTAATTTTTGTTTATGTTATCTACATTAAACTGCCATTAAAAACCATTATAACATTGAAGATAATATAACTCTCACCAATCCCTGCAGTTTGCCATATTTTATACTCACTGTTCTGCTTTTAATGGTTGAATGAACATGTTACATAGTCTATAGCCTTCCACAACAAGTGTTCCATCTAAGACAGAAATAATTACCTTTAACATTCTATAAGATATAATTATTTTTATGGAAATTAATGCACTTGAAATAGTCATTAAGTACATACTCTTGATTGGTGGTGTCAGGCTGACCATTAGACATGGAATTTATTGCTACTTTTAAATCATATTCTTTTCATGTAATGATTGGATTTAGTGATGTGGTTGTGATTTCGTCATAGTCACAGTGGTATTGTAAGTCAGTCACAGGTGTGATTATATGATTTATCACATTTGATTGTGAAATTATTCCATTCCTACCAATAATAATTACAGAAATGATTATACAAATCTGAGTAATACCTGTAAAGAACAGTATGTCTAAACAAATAAAGAAACAAAAACAAGTCTTCCTTAATGATTACTCTGTATTTATTCAAAGCTGATTGATTGTTCTAAATGTTAGCGTTAAACTAACACTGACTGCATTGGTGGTGCAGTGGTAGCACATCCGGCTGCTGTACTGAGGTCTTGGGTTCGATTCCGATATTTGTTTTGGAGTTTAGGGGAATTGATTACATCACAGTTCAAAGATGATTTATCACAACCACAATGTGCCACAGCAAAGAGTGGAAATTTATATAATATTTATAAATAAACCAATAAATCATTTTTGTATGAATAAAATTTTTTTTTACCCATAAGATTTCAGTACCTGAATACAGATTTTTCATCTTCTTATTGTACTAAAGCTGCTTCGTCTTTTGACATTAGATGACCTCTGCATTTGACTGTGATATTCAGAATCATTCTTAATTTTATTAGGTTCTACTGTTGGAAGTTCAGTCAGACAGTCAGTTATATAATAATATATAAACATAGCTAGTACTAAACAGACAAAACTTACTTATCATTGCATTTTTATGGAATAGGGTTTTTTTTTTTGCGAAGGTCTTTTAGCAACAGAAATTACTAGTATCTGAATTCTGAGGGACTTACTTCCTAGGGTATACCTGAGTCCCTTGCAATAGACTTATACATGACAGAACAAGTGTGACAGTGGTTTTAGTCAGTTCAATTCTGACATACTAATACTAAGTTATATATTAACACCCCAGAACTGCTATATGTACCAGGTACCTGCTCCTTAAAAACATCTTAAAAGACTATTATGACATTCCAAGATCCTTTTTTTTGTATTCCACGCTTAAAATTATTGTTTCTATTTAGGTAGGTTCTACCAAATACAGTTCTACCTTCATCCTACTCTATGGTGTAAACAAGATTGATCAGTCAGACCCAATAAGTACAAGATTGTTAGCAGTAGCATAGCAAGTGTTTATTAGAATCAATAACTGATGAAATGAGCATAATTTATTAAGTTTTTATTTATATATTTAACAGGTCAATGCAAACTAGACTAAACATACATAATGTGATAACACAACACAGATACAGGATGCATGTAACTTATACATTAAGTTAAATGTTCACATAATTCTGTTTGTGTATTAATAACTGGTTCATATTGAAGAAATACCACCGGTAGTTGTTGCTAATTATATGCGTGTATCATACTAGTTGTCTCATAAAAATGTTTATTACTTATTTTTATTTGCAGGTCCAAAAATTAAACGGCAAGAAATATTATGTATATTTCTATGGTACTGGAGAAACGTAAGTATTTTAATTTAACATTCAATAATGTATGATTATGATCATATAAGCAGATCAACATAATCACGGAACAGGTATTACATTAAGTACCTGGATGAGCTGGATACCTGAGTTTTGCTGGGTATGTTTTTTAAAAATGAAACCTAGCTAGATAGATTAATCAAGCTCGAAACTCCCTGCATACTAAATTTCATGAAAATCATTGGAGCCATTTCCGAGATACACACTATATAAATATATACAAGAATTGCTTGTTTAAAGGTATTAGATACCCTGTGATTGTGTTAATCTCCTTTGAATTGCCTGACTTTTGTTCAGTTTGCACTATTCATAGTAACGGGCAGTCATCCTGTGACCACGATCAGTGTGTACACTGTATGTACATAAATGTTATGTGCCAGTAGTAGAAAATAAAATTGAATCTCATGAGTGTTTACTTAATTTTTCCAGAGCTAATCTACCACCAACCATGATTTTTGACTATGCAGAGAACAAAGATAAGTTCCTCACCAAGATGGTCAAGCGTCGAGATTTCAGAGATGGAGTCAAACAAATAGAACATGACTTTGCAAACAATGTACCACTGGAGCAGGTTATTGGCGCTTTGCCTGAGGTAATTTTAATATGGAAACTACTCTGTTTTTTTAAATGTTTAGTATAGAGATCTTTATTACAAATTAAATTTTAACCCCATTGTGGCTTATTCTAAGACACTATTTATGTTGTGATAGACGAAAAGGATGAGAGAGGATCCGTTGTTGTGCAAATATCTCAAATAGGTTTTATTCAGAATATTAATGAATCTTACATTGTACATATTAAGATTATATTTGCATACCTTTGGCGCCGGTATTTGATAAACTATGCTCTTAATAGGGTAAATGGCTGTCAAGTCAAATCAGTATCTTTTTAATAAAAGTCAAAACAATAGACAAACAATAGACGTACAATTTCGTATAAAATACTATGGTATGACGTCACACCTAGCTATTGTGAAATCAGTTCAATTTAATGTTGATTTGAAGATTTTAAATCAACATGTGTAAGGAATCAACATGTGTAAGGTTGTTATTTACTCACTAGTTTAGGCTTAAAATTGTGACAGATACATAGAGTTACTCTTGTACATTTTGTAGGCACCCAGTGATGCCACAGCCAATGATACTATGGACGATACTGCGAACGACACAATGGATGTAACTGCTGACACAACAGCAGCTGATGAAACTATGGCTGATGACGTAAGTAATAATAATAATATTTCGAACATCTGACACACAACGCCATCTAGTTTCAAACTAAGCAGAGCTTGTACTACGTATCTATTTGTTTAATCTCGTAAGTGTTGTACATAATTATAATGCTATGATATCACAGTGGAACAAATAAACCGGTGGTAAGCTATTATTTTACTGCATTTCATCAATTGTGTGATTGGACGACCAACCCCTTTCCTAATTCTAGACACTGAAAAGGCGGCAATGCACTCTTGAAAGGCCCCTCCAGCCCGGTTGTAAAAACCATATAAAAAAGAGAAAAATCTAAGTTCTATAGAATATTTTATTTTTTAAATATAACTGAGTCACCTATTAAACACAAAATAAGATATATCAAAATCGATCCATCCGTTTAGAACTTCTAATGTTCACACAAATACACACTTTTAAATTATAACCTTTAACATTCTATTTGTGTCGGTGTTCAAAAAGTATATAAGAAAAAAAATTGTAAATAGAAATAATCTGTATTAAAGGAACAATAAATAAATATCTGTATTCCAGACCACCGTGAACGCAAGTACGAATGATGCAGCTGTCGAAGATTCTGATGATACTGGCACTCTTGTTATTGATGAAGGCAAGGTTAGTGTTTTTTTTTTTAGAATCTTAGAAATAAAAGCCTTTTTTATGGAAGAGGGGCAAACGAGCAGACCGCCGCCCATGAACGCCTGCAACTCAGGAGTCACAAGCGCGTTGCCGGCCTTTTAGGAAGGAGTACGGTCTTTTATTGAAGGTCGTATCGGACCAGAAATACTGCAGAAGACAACTTGTTCTTCAGATTAGTTGTGCGAGGTTAACAGTGCCTTGAAAAGCGCACAGTAGTGGAGTACCGATTATCAAAGTGATGGGATGAAAATTTTGACGTGTAGAACGATGGCGGAAAGTTGTGGACTTAAGAACGTCGCACACTATTTGTAATTTTATAAACCCTTCAGCTTGGTACATGTCAGCACTATTGTGTGATACTTAGTGGAATTCGATCCAGGAATCAAGCAATTACTTACTCCTCAGTCTTTAGAGCTGTTTCTTAATTATATAAAACTATTGAGAATGGATGTAATTTTTTTTAGATCTTCATATATCATAGCTCAACAATAAGAACAATAATTCAGTCTCTCTTCTGAATAAAATATATATCCTTTTAAAGTAAGCAGTGTTGTCATTTATAAACAGATTAGCTTTTGCATGCGGCTTCGCTTCGCGTAGTAGTTATTTTTCTTTCCCTCAGGAATGTTATGTTCTCGAATTATATAAACCTATAGTAATATATTTATTAGTTTACCTAATATACACCTATAGATCAGGATATCTTTCATTAAAATTTGCCATTTTACAGCAAAAAGGCAAGAAGGGTAAAGTAGAAGCCAAAGCCAAGGAAACCCCCGCAAAACCAGCGAAGGAACCAAAGACACCTAGAGGTAAAGCTAAAAAAGAAGAATCTAAAGAAGAGGATGAAGAAGCTAAGAAGGAGGAAGAGATCGTGAGCAGAAGCGGTAGAAAGATTAGGCCAAAGAGGTAATTTATATATTTAGCCATATCGCTTTTCACGTTAGGTATAAAGCCGTAGATTTCTTCTGTGCCAGTTTAGATACATCCATAATCAGTATTGAAAATTTACTATTTTAATTTTTAAAAACGAATATGCACAGGCTATATACTTTTATATTAAGCTTAAAGGTCAAACCAAGAAAACAACAAACTGTTTTTTTTATTATTATTTTAATTTATGGGATTTATTTTTTTACGACGACAGTTTTCTTCATAAGCCTGCCGTCCATGATAAATCCACAGATTATCAATGTCACTTGCCGAAATGTAGTTTCAGAGTTCTAAACTATGTTTGCGATTGTGACATACATACAAGATAAACTATCATTGGAAATTTAAAATTATTGTCATCAATATCATTCAAACTCAGCCAAAATTATTAGATTTAAGGATGAATTCTGCACAATTCTCTACTCAGGTGTCCAAGGGCGGTGGTAGTCACTTAACCATCAGGTGACCCGACTGCTCGTTTGCCATGTTAAAAAAAAAGTTTTTACATGATGAGATTTCACTATGAAGATGTCACAAACTTTTGTGTGTCCATATTCATAAAGAAAAGTATTTTTTCACCTGGAGTACAGCGCCAACAATACCCACAAAACAGGCTACGAAATTATGATAAACCTATATATTGTAAAAATCTTGCAGCAACTATCATTTTCATAATTTTAGGTACATAGATGAGCAAACAGAAGAAAACGCGACTCTACCTTCCCCGGCACCCAAGAAACGCCGCGGTGCCTCTCCCGGACCTGCTCCGGACAAAGAGAAGGAAAAGGAGAAAAATGCAGAATCGAAAGAGAAGGTTCCAGAAAAAAATATTAAGCAATTCAATGCTGTTAAACAGGTAAGACAGGTTTTAATTTTTACTTTTAATAAATTTTATAGGTGATGTAGGGTACTTGAGAATATAATTATATATGAAAGAAATCTTATGTGGCCATTATTAAGTACATTTCAAACTTTCATGTAATACAAATTGTTCTATATGTACTGGATAATTATAGAACAAATAGGTTGAACTGTCCTTGTATGTGTACAGCTTGACATAGCCATGTTTGTATTAAAAAAAAAAAGCTTTAATTATACCCAAATTCCTCTATGCTTTACTTAAAGAAATATCTTTTTAAGGTTATATATATTATTGTTTTGGTTTACAGTCTGAGCTGGAAGACCTAAAGGAACCATTTAAACCAGGTAAGCACCTTAGATTAAATAAAAAAATATCGCATCAATAAAAAATAAAAACTGTAAGTTAAAGTTAAGTGTCTTCACTTTTTCCCAGAAAAGAGAACTGCACTGATAATATCAGACCAAGGTCAATAAAATAGTACTAACCTCTACAATTAAAAAAAAAACAAACAAATGTAAGAGTAAAATTAAACCTTATTATTTGATATCTTTTAAGAAGAATTACTTGGAACAAAATCTTGCCTTGTGGTCGATAAAGCATATATTGTTTTGGTGCCTGAAGTGATAGACTTTTCCGTGAATAAGTACTTTAATATAATTATTGATCTTGATATCTTTCAAAGTATACTGTCAAAATCTCTGTCAGAAGCGGCGTTGTTAAAGAACTAGAGTCTATATACCAGTATTATTCGAATGATTATGTAAGTCATAATTAAGTAATATTTGATATGACTACATTGTAAGTTACGGGTACGATGGGGCTGGCATGGTCTTATGTGTGACTACAAATAAGCCCTAAATAAGAAAATATATAAAAATTTAGAAAAAAAGTACTTCAACTTAATAAGCAACTTAAAATTAAATATGTATAACTTAATAAGCGTAATAGCTTTCGGTTCTACAACTTCGCCAATCCCGCGTAAGTACGATAGTATTCACGATTTACAAGGAAGGGGGTTCAAATAATTTGCAATACACTAAAAATCTGAACTTCAATGTTCCTTTTACCTCACGTATTTGAAGGGAAAACGAGAATTATTGATCAAACTTATTTTACTAAAACGTATAAAAAAAAGAAAATTTCAAATATCGAATACAGTTTAAAAAGTAAACGCTCCGTTTAATACCCTTGGATGAATGTTGAATCGCCTTGGTCATTAAAAAAACTAAATTCGTATTTTGAAATAATTTATTTTACCGCGAAAATCGAAGTGCCTTTTGTTTGTTTTTTTTTTCTAGTTGTACGATAAAAATGGATAATAATGTTAATGAAACAGGTTTATTCAACTATAGCCAGGACATTTTTAGTCAATATGACGATAATTTTGCTACGGCGGATTGTTTGACGAAATATCAAAACGAAATTGGTTCCAGTATGAACGCGGTTGTCAACGGTAATTATTTGATTAATATGTATGTTTAAATAAAAAATCAGTAATGCATACCTAATTAGTTACTCAAAATTATTACGTATTGTATTAGTTGAAAAAATTGAAGTTTAAATTATTATTTTCAGACGTAAATTCAAAAGTCAATGCAAACATCAAAAGTTGTCTGTCAGAAGTTATGATGCCTAAAATTGTACCGACATTTGGCAAAAAGGAAATAGTAAAAAAATGTGATAATAAGCCAATAACTAAACCGAAAAAGTTTCGACCACCGACTAAAGTAGCCCAGAATACAACTAAAACTAATGAAAAAGTGATTGATACTGAAATTGACACTTTGCCCCAACATTTGCCACCAACCATTTGTGATCATTTGAACCAGAGTGCTATTTATACTAATGAAATGATAAATTTGACTCTTACAACTTATTTGGCATCTGTTGGTCCAGAAATTTATACAAATTTTAATCCAGTGTCCAATGACCAGAATATATGTGCAGCTTTATGCAATACAGATATTAATTTTACGGGAAACGGCCAAGAAAATACAAATATTTGTTATGAAAACAGTCAATCGGCAGGTTCTATTAAGAAATCAAAGTCTAAAAATATTGGAAATATAATTTCTAGTTCATTGTTCGTATTAAACGATGAGGAAATCGTACCACTCATTTCACAAGAGTCGGATAATTCAAGTATCAAATGCTTATCTCGGAACCAATCTATTTGTTCCGTCACATCGTTAACTAAGACATACAAAAATTTAGATTTTAATAGTTTTAAAGAAAACAAAGGGATAAAAGAAAATAATTGTATAGACAACAGCAACCACAGAATACCCCAAGGGGATGATTACCTTAATCTGTTTCGAAATAATAATTGCGAAAAATTTGAACGGAATGTCGCTATGAGTACGGAATTCGGAGATATAGGTTTTAATTTTAAATATTCTGATTATATAAAGGGACTTGGAAATGTCGACGATGAGACAGAAGACGAAAAAATAGCTTACAATAACATTTTACAAAAGTATCCGAAACAAAATAAAGAGTTGATTAAAATAAAGAAGTCAAAATTGAATGTATAATATGTCGTAGTAATAAAGTTTAAGTTGAATGTCATGATTTCGTTTTTTAGTAAGCGAGGGAAAACCTCATGTTGCTCTTTTAACAAGTTATTTTTGTACTTAACCCCTTGGTTTTGCTAGCGTTACAGATATTTTTGTTTTTCTCAGTAATACGAGTAGTACTTTTTTTTCTGAATGGGAAGGTCAAGGAACACCTCATGCCGAAACGACGTTTATCTGAATTTACTAATTATTTTAATATCTACACAATATCTAACTACCTATTAACTAAGTTATTTATTATCTACACCATTAATAGTATCAGGGGGCCTAGTATGAGTTTATTTCACATCAACTTGCTCTACGTTGCGTTTGGCCGCACTGATCTCTGCACCAATCGCAATCGTAATAAACTGTGAGAAATAAACCCACTGTAATATCAATAAATGTATAGTATAAATAGTGTCGGATTCTCGCATAGCATTAGGGAACTATTGGTACGTCGGGGTACCAGGGATTTCCTTTGTAAGGTACACTTGGTTCCCCGGCAACTGGTACCCGAGACGGCGTGCGGTTTTTGGTCGGTTCAAGTCCGACATAACCACCGGGGTACCCGAGGGGATTTCCGCACAGGAAAAAAGGTACTATTGGTGAGATAGATTATCTAGATATAACTATTGCCAAGAAGGCGCAAAACACAATAGGAGAGGCGAAGTTTGGGACAGTTCTCCCTTCTGCCTTCCTGAGTATACACGGACACTCACTGTGTTAATGTGCAATGTGCTAATTAACTTATACAAATAACGAGGAAGCTGTAAATATACTAAGCACCTGATATTCCCTAACAGAAGATGCTGAAAAAGAAAATATCCTGATCACATATCTCCCATCGGGACAATATGTGGGCATCAAGCTATTCCAAGCCAGACCAGCTGGCTTCAAGAATGAGGCAGCAAGACTCCAGTGGGACAAACAAGCAGCTTCTAACGCTGTTACACTAAAAATGCAATTGGGTAAGTAAAAGCGATATCGTTAATACACACATATTTCTAAATACTAATTTTGTATGGATGGCAGTTGCAAAAACAAGTTAGAAACATTTTTCTTAATCAATTAATTGACCACCAATGTAACATTTCACACAAGACCAGTGTCACTTGCTTTTTAAAACAAACTCAGCTAAATAAGTAGCATTATAGAAACATGTGTAACGACGAATTAAGAATACGGAATTTCACCACCCCAATTCATCCCGTGGGTGTCGTAAGAGCCGACTAAGGGCGCAAAACAACGCAGGACACCGGCACTGCAAAAAGAAGGAAAAGTTGACACAAACCCTATACCAACCTGATTGGCCAGCGTGGTATAGTAGGCCGAAACCTCCTTTCTAAGGAGAGGCCTATGTCCAGCAGTGGACTATTAAAGGCTGTTCATGATGATGATGATGATTATAGAAAGTAAGTAGACGGTGACTAAAGTTTTAAATTACATCTTAATACTTTCATATGTAAAAAAATCATAGGTGAAAAATACTTCTAGAATAAAATATCACTACTATAGTTTTGATTTGATTTGATTAGTATGAGCTGGATGCGAGAAGCCCAAAATCGATCTAAGTGGCGTGCAATGGGAGAGGGCTACGTCCAGCAGTGGACTGCGATAGGCTGATGATGACTATAGTTTTACACTAGCGTAACTTAGTCTAATTATTGTCTAAGATCTATTTTAAATCGAAATGTCCTACATTGTAATATATATTGGTCAAATAAATAAATATTATTATTATTATCGTTTGAGGGCCATGCTCGACCGGAGTGATACCACAGCCTCTCAAAAACGCGCTTGTGAATCTGAGTTGCATCTGTCCGTCGCCGGCGGTAGTCAGTTACCATCTGAGTTCACTTCCACTCGATTTCGATCGGCCCGCACTGAAATCTCAACCAATCGCAACGCTAAACGCGCTCCCCGTCGAGAGCGAATCGATGTAAATTAACCCACACTCGGGCCTTTATTGACAGGTGAAATCAGTCAAATATATGTATATCGTAAAGCAGTTTCTCACTTAAGTGATGTTATTTTACCAGAAAAAGGACAGATTACTTCACAATCAGTGGTGGCGCAACTGGTCACCGATCTCAACCTCACGGACGAGGAGAAAGCCACACTTGATAAGGAAAGGGAGACTGGTATGTAGTTATTCTTTATTACTTATTTATAATAATAATAATAATTTCACACATCCCACACACAGCCGTCTGATCCCAAATCAAGGGGAGCCTGTACTATGGTAACCGGACTGTACATTATAATATACTAGCTTGCACACGGCTCGATAATATTTTTATTCGGTTATCGCTGTAAAAAAGGGCGTATGTTACTTGCTCATAATGTAACTATCCATTGGTAAAAGATTTTTTAAATCGGTTTAAGCGTGAAATCGTAAACAAACACTTTCACATTTATAATATTAGTATGGATGAGTATGTTGTTAGTGAAAGCCTATTTTATATACTCGTATATATATATATATATATATATATATATATATATATATATATATATATATATATATATATATATATATATATATGTATACGAGGATAGTGTGCTATGATGCCTTACATATCAGGGAACACCAGGGGCGTGCGCTCCTTGTAGGCAGAAATGCAGTGCTTTACTTGCTATTTACAGACATTTTAATAAAACGTTCGTACGTTTTAGATGGCTTTAATTAATAGTAAATAACTGAATAAACAAAATATAATAAAAACGCCTATTATTTAAAAATAGCACCCATTTGCAAGCACACAAACATTATGTTTGCCAAGCGTTTACCGACAAGTAGCGCTGTACCTAACAAACCAACTCATGCCGTCGCGTCCCGCAGAACATTTGTTCGCATGTGTGTAGTAATTTTGGTGTCCGTGCACAGTTCGCAAACTCACACACCCATTTATTTTGTTTTCCCGCCTCCAGCCGCAGGCTACTGAAGTTAGTTCGGCAGTTGTCGGGAGTAATCGGAAATGTTCGTTGCCGCCGTGTTCGCGGGGGCCATTTTTTTTTCATGTGATAAGCATTGTTTACTAATTTGTTTCCGCCAGTATAATTATAGTTTTGTTTTTCATTTTAACATTTGAAAGTGTGTACATTTAACAGTATATACTGTACATTATATTACTGTATACAGTATATTACTGAGTTCCGTTGATTTTTTTTAAATGTTACCTATTTGATTGTGAGGTATGTGTGGAAAATGTGTGTATATTATAAATTAAAAGTTCTCACAATTGTCATTCAGTGTAAAGATTAAAATTGTGTCTAAAGGTAGGTGTGTACCCGAGTTACAACAATTAAACCAGCAAAAAGGAAATGTAACTTGCAAGTTTCATGTTAAGAGTTATGAAACGTATGGCTGTGTGGTTGTGTACATACGATTAAATTATATTGTTTTCCTACTCCGCCGCATACCTAGTGTCAATCCTGTGCACGCCGCTGGGGAACACAAACCACTTAAACATCCAAAACCTAAGGAATGGCCCATGTCCAGCAAAGAGCTGTTGACAATGATGATAATTTTTCTAATATTTGTTTCAGAGGAAAAGAAATCTCGCGTACAGTTTCTGAAGACAGAAATGAAGTTGATCGAACTAGACGCTAAGATAAAAACGTGTTTGTGTCTCGAGAAGGCAGATACCGACATGTGTTTGAAATTACTCGACGAATTCATGGGTGAGTTTGTACATTTTTTTTTCATGATTTATTTATTTATTAATTAATGTCATCCACAGTTGGAAAAAGCTCTCAACTATATCAGAATCTAAAGTGGTCTTTCACCATTGTTATCGACGCCACTCTTACTAATTTATCGCGTATTTAGTTGAGTATTTTGAGTCTGTTAAAAAGTCCTCTTTATAACAGTTGACGCTTCAGCAGTCATCACTTAACAACGAGATTATACTTATACGTATACTCACGCCTCAATCCCGTCCGAGATAGGCAGACACAATAGAACACCATTTTCCATGATCCTGACGCACACAACTCTACTCACAGCTCCGAAACGGCCTCGGAACTTATTCTTTCAAATTGCGTCACTTCCGGTAATTTTTTTATTTAAGTCCCCGAGTGAATTCTCCATAGTCTACTTAGTCTTAAACATGTTATAAGTTGTTGATGTCTAACAACATATACATATGTTATGTGTGTTGGATAGAATTGGACGTGAAGCCACTGATGCTGCTGAAGCACCCGACGTGCCTGGAGACCATCAAGCGCATGCGCGCGTACGTGGGTAACACACCGTCCTGGGAGCTGAGCGAGAGCGCCGCGCACGTCTTTAACAAGCAGGCCTCCAACATACGCAAGCAGGCCGACGTCATGTACAAAAAGATGAAGGTACATGTGTACGTTTACCCGAATTAGCATGTCTCTGAAACGGACACAAAGAACACCCAGACACAATTTATGGATCACACAAAGTGTCGTCCCCGTCCGAAGTGGGGATCGAACACCAAAAAAAACAGCGTAGTAGGAAGCGGCGTGGCGACCGCTTAAACAACCACGCCATCTGTGCAGTCGGTTCAATCTTCAAGTTTTAATTCCGCGACCTATCTTTATATAATCAAAAATAAAATTAATCAAAAAAAGTTGGCACAACTTACAATAATGTTCAACGTTTGCTTCTCATTAATTTTAGAGAAATTTGTGTTTATACCCTAAAATCCAAGCTAGGTGGGACCTGTATTTTGGTGACCAGTGTTCTGCTGTGAAATAAAAAAAAACTAACAAGTAGATCGATGCTCACTTTTACAATTTTATGAACTTATTAACGGAAATATTACAATGTCTGACTATGTCTAGTACAGTATGTTTATGGGTAAGTATGCGTGAGGGTGTGTATGTATGTAAAGGAGCATGTGTGTATTTATGTGAAGGAGCGTGTATATGCGATAGAGTATTCTGTATGTAGTATTACAATATGAAAGATTGGTTAAGTAATATTTAGGAGAAAGACTGGCATTTATTTAAAAATATGTGTATACTTAAGTAGCGCTAGTAGATAGAAAGTTGAAAAATAACAGGTTATCGTGGTATTTATATGTGATACTGAGATATATATAAAGTTAGTAGAAGAGAGTTATATTTATAGAAGGTAGTAGCTGTGAAATTACTGACTTGTGAATACCCCAAATTAATATATAGAACAAATAAATGAAGGCATTAGAGCTGGAGTAATGTACAAATGAATAAGTGAAACATTATAATTATTCATTATAATGTTTCACTAATGCATTTACCTAACTACCAAATAATCTAATAACAGAACACACAAACATATCATGTTATAAATATTTACGATACAAATTAATTCATTTAAGTAGTTCAATATTTTTTTTGAGATTAATATGTGTTTCTTAAATTTTTCTTCATAGGAGCTGTTCACAACACCAGAAGGTTTATCTTTCTGGGAGTTCTTCACAGAGCGCGTGCTGCAATTCAAGAAGGTGACGTCTAAACTCACTGCTGACGAACTCTTGGAAATGATCCATGAACCAATTGGTAAAATTATTTTCACTTTATTAAAATATTTGTACTAAATAAATAAATAAAAAAGACTGGAATAATAAATTTATATGGGAGAAAGCGGATGAATGTGGATGGCCCAAAATCGGGATGGTTGGCGCTTCTTGGCTTAGACCATCGTTCAGCAGTGAACGGCAATAGGCTGATGATGATGAGGATGGGAGAAAAGTGGGAGAGTCAAACTTCGGCCTATAAGGGGCGTTCAAGTTCGACGGGTGTGATATCACGTCTTTATAGAAAACCGGTATAGTGGGTGAGGTTTCCAAAGACCTAACCAAGCTGCTAGTTTAAAATTAAACTTTAGTCTTAGTTTTAATTAATTCCAGTGTAAAACTACACCGGTGTAGTCATCATACAAATGTATTAATTACAAAAGAAACTTGTTTTAGGAATGTCCTCACCAACATCTCATACAATGAAGACAGCGGTAGAAGCTGCCAATGAGGATGAACAACAACCTGAAGACACCTCAGAAGAGCCACCACAGAAGAAAAAAGCAACACCAGGTATTAGAATTATTAAATTAAGCAGTCAAGTACTTTACATGATCATTTTCTTTAACATTTTTAAGTAACTTTAATAAAATAATACGAAAAACTCACATTTAAATGAAAATTTAACTCATAACCGGTATTATTACATCTTTTCCATGTATCTCTTTAAGTTTAGCCTAAGTTGAAGCCATGTGAATTAGTTTTGACTTGGAAAATATTTTTTTTCTACTGAAATAAAAACTTAATTAAATAAAACTTCCTTGATAAATAACTTACCTAAAGTGAAAACCGCATTAAAATACTTCGCGTGGTTTAGAAAAAGTTAGCAGATATATAATGGATAATTGTTTTATTATTATGTAAAAATTAAGTTACTTAAGCGTTAATTAAGCACATAATACGGAAAAAAAATGATAATATTTTCCCTCCCATAGCCAAAATCAAAAAGGCAACAAACAACACACCATCAAAGCAGCCTCTGAAACGTCAGTCGTCTAGAAAATTACAACAAGAAGAGAAAGAAAAAGAAAAAGAAACAAATAAAGAAAAAGATGAAACACCAAAATCAGACCAACCAGAGAACTCAGAAGAAGCCGAATCCAGCAAAGCAGAGACTGAAACATCTGAAAAGGCACAAGGGGAATCTACAGAAAAGACAGCAGAAAGCACAGAAGAACCTGCCAAAGAAGCTGTAAATACTTCTGAGGAAACTAAAGAAGATGCTAAAGAGGAAAATGATAAAGAAGCAGAAAGAGTCACAGCACCAAATGATAAGAGTGAAAAAGAAGTCGAGAAGAGTTCACAAGAGAGTGAAAAAGAGAAACCGGAGAAGCAGGAAGTAGAACCCAGAGCGATTAGATCTAGAGAGGTTAGTTCTCGTGTTTACTTTAGACTACATTTTGTGGTGTTTTCAATTTATAAAACAAAGTCATACTAATATATTTAGATAATCCAAAATTTGAATACATGAAAGATAAATTTTATCACATCTGCAACCTGTGAATGCATTTTAAAATCATATTTGTCAAAGCCTACGTCGACGAGTAATTTGAACATAATATGTATCTGTTTCAGAGTAAGAAGACTGAAGCCCCACCGCCACGGTCGCCAGCCAAAAGAAAATCAAAATTCTAAACTATCAAATTTGAGCATTGGATTTTATTTTTATACGAGAGTCACATGTAAACACTTCAATATTGTATGTCATATGTTAGACTCAGATGTAAGTCTGCTATTAGAGTCTTGGATACGATATATTACGAGACAAAAAGATTTTCTCTATGATCTTCTTGACTTTTCTTGTGTATTAACAGGCTGATAGTTGTTCTAGGATACAGAGATTAATATATATTTACACATACACTCACGTTGGTGTCTTTGATGGGGTAAACGGAGGCGTTTTGAACACCAACAATTTGCCAACAGTAATTTTGGTTCCAATATGGCTACCAAACAGGCACTTTATGAATTAAGAGTGGAAAAATTAGATTAACTATCTCTGAAAAAAAGGGGGTTTGAATTCAACAAGACAGAGATACAAAAGACTCCAGGTGCATTAGAAGTATATTCTGTGTGAAATAATTATTCTGTAGAGAATTGCTGGTCAAAAAAAAGATAAAATATAGTTTGTGATCAATAGTGGCCCCCCAAGTTTTGTGGTCAGCGGAGGCAATCCAATTATTATTGTGATCCTTATGCTGTTTTTGCTACCTATGTGGTAGGAAACTATAGTTTCCTGATTTGTGCTGGCATTATTTTTAAATGTTAGATTCAAATGTACAATATTGAAGTGTATTGTGTGCTGGAGAACTTGTCCGTTCTGATGTATAAAATTTAGTGTTAAAACGATTTAAATGTAATACTTCATGTGGTAAATGTAAAATGGAACTTAATAGCGATGGAATCGAATCTTGTAGTTACGTCTTATGGGTCATAGGAACCCCTTGATCTCCCTGTAAGGGGGTAGCATTAACGGTTCAGCAGATAAACAGCCTTGTGTTTATGAGATGCGGGTAGTTACTCGAATAAGCTGCTCACACATAACTTACTCCTAACAATAGTAATTTCTAATCTAAACTTTCCCCTTTCTTGACATATGATTATGCATGTTCACAGAAGTTAATGCAGTGATCTGGTCATAATCTCAGCACCTTCAAAGGTATGTGATATCTGAACTTAATCGTGATAACTCCCGTGTATGTTCATAAAAGGCATTTCGCTCAGTTGGTAGGGTAAATCCTAATTACCAACAGTTTATTTACGATAATTTGTAAGCACAGGCCACACATACGAACAAATTAATATAATGTTTCTTCAAATTTGAGAGGTGAGCATTTTTTTTTCTTCTTAAGTCTTCTTTAAAACATTAAACTTTGAAAAATTTTGGTGTTCAGATTGGTAAAGTAGCCGGTAAACGTGTACGTACACCCCTGTGAATACGATTATTTGTTCGTATCGCTTTGGAGTTACGAATAAACAGTTTCTACAATGACTATCGCAGTTAAGGCCCGTTTTATTCCTAATAAATGTAAAATAGTTGAAGATTTTGTAAAATATTTTGATATATTATTATAAATCTTCACAGCTGTGTGCAGTGCAATTAAGGTGTATATCTCCAGCGTTGAATTACAAAAGTAATTTTAATTTAACCAGAGAATTATGTTAAATAGTTTTTAAAACCTTTTTCTCTCCACACAACAATCAGGGTTGGTTATGAATTTTTTTAGGTGTTATCTGTATAGACCAGGGTCGATAATTTTTGAAACCAAAAATAATAATAGTACAATGAGACCCATTGGAAAAGGTAGAGAATATAACAAAAATTAAAGGAAAAATAATTTACTGTCGATCTGAGGTCGGAAAGTGGAAGGGGGTGAGTTTTTAAGCATAAAAAACGGTTTATCTCGATTAGATCGTAAAACTACAAGTCCAATGGAAAAAAGATGTGAAAAAAGTGTCAAAGAAAAAAAGATCTAAGACATAAATAAATAACCAAAAACTTGGTTATTTGAATTTTTCACATAAATTTTGAGGTTATGTAAGAAAAGTACAATTACAAAAGTTGTAGATATTTTTATTACTTTCTTTCTAATGGGTTTCATGTTACTGTTATTTTTTTTCACTTTTTACTGTTTTCAAAGGCTTCAACCCTGGTCTACAAAAGTTACAGTTATAGTTGTTCTAAAAAAAACTGGTTTCAACTAAATATCAGTTAATAAGTCACTTGGTGGCAATTATCCAAAATTTGCATTTTTGCTGCAAAGAAAATTGTCAAAAGCTTTAAATTTTCGCTATAAATCAAAATAATTTTTATTTGAGAGGGGGTTAAAAACTCCATTTAACAATAAACTGTGTAATAAATTTTCATTATCGATGGTCAATAGATTTTTTTAGTAATTTAGTATGAGACTGACTTTTATTTCTGTACGTCATTCGTCATAGAATTTTAATACGTCATAAGTTGCAATTTAAAATCTGCAATAGCAGAGTTAACCTAGAAGTTAACTTGTTACACTGGATGCTGGATGAATATACAAAATAATTATCTGTGGACATATTATGACTACAAGAATTATTGACTTGTATTTAAATCTATTAGAGTTACGGATCAGCCATTGAAGTGCTAGGAGTCAAAATGGAAGAAAAAATACGAGAGAAGCTCAGCTTATTGAACTGGTACATCCATGCCAGAGATGTCGAGATGGATAACTTGTTGCCAGGGGAGCCGTATGCTAATTTGCCACCTTAGGTGTGGTCCCACCTTTCCATATTCTCTGCAGTCAAGAAATAATAATTATAATATCTTAACATTATAAACTACTTATTTCAGCTCAGTCTATATTCACTATAATATAATCGTAATTGTAATATGTATGTTTTGGACTGACTTTTGACAAAATTGTTAAACTGTAAAACATTTAGTAACTATGAACACACTTCGAAGAGACTTAGTTGTAAAAAGTATATTTCGTTGAATTTTTTTATAAAAAGCAACCTTTTATAACACTTGCAAGAATTCATTGCAAATAAAAAAAAAATACGTTAGTGTTTCTGTTATTTTGGATGTATATGTAAGTGGTAAAAGTACATTTTATTGTATTAGACTATCATAGGGATAAAATATTAGTTTTAATTTCCATTGTAAATATTTACAATAAATATTCTACTTGTATGAATTTTGATTTTTATTCTATAGATTTAAAATTGGGATTCTTGTTTATGGTTTGGGTTGTAAAATATATAAAAGTACTAAGATCAAAGTGAAACAATATTAGTGAGATATTATATATTTTAACATCTGAATGTTGAACATCTGAAAGTCGTATTCCCTAAGTCAGGTAGAAATCAATTTCTTCGGAGCTGTTAGCAACATATAGCACACAGACTTCTACCCTGAAGAGCCATAAACTAAGTTGATCCACTAATAATACCTTATGGCAGTTATACCTTGCAATCATTTAACAGCTTTTTCTCCTTGAAGCTAATCGTCACCTTTTAAATAACACGCATAACCTTGATTGTGTCCAAATAAAACAGTCACGAATCAAAGTAAATGTATATTTGTTGAAATATAAATCTAAAAAACAAGAAGTAAAAATATATATATTTCAAAGTCTCTTCCTCTTCGGCTTTTTATTATAATCAGGATATGTAAATAGAATTTTCTCCATGCTCTCTTTGGCCTCATCTTCATCTGAAATGTTAAATATGTTGAGATTTCAAAACCTGAAGGGGATGTAGTAAATCAAACATTAACGTAAATACCAGGGTGATACAAACTGAGCGGGACCGGGACCGGGTGAGATTTAGAACTCTCCCGTTTCGCTAGGGCCGGAAACGGGCCAGAGACGGCGTACCGTTTTTAGTGGGTTCGAGTCCGAATGTGTCCGCGTGTGGAATCCGAGGGGATTGCCGTACAGAAAATAAACTAAAATCGCATTAGCTAGCGTACTTCAGCAGATAACCGTCATTGAAATTGTCATTTGCTTAAATATTAATGAAAACAAAAAAAAACGGTGCTCCTGATGATGGCTACTTATGGCCATATGAATTTTCTTTCAAACTTATTATTTGAAAGAAAATTTTAGTGTTCGATTTTATTAAAAGTTACAATTCGACTAAAAATATTATTTGGAGCGAATTGTAGAAATTAGTAGAATAATTATTTTAAAGATTTTATTTGAGATAAACAACTTACACTCATCATCAGAACTATCCTGTTGACACTTTCTCCAGATAAGTTGCTTATCAAATCCAATACCTTCATACTGAATATTCATCGGGGATGGTCTTATAGACTTGTTTTCTAAAAGTATTATATCTGACATAGGAAGTATAGGGTTGTAGGCACCTCTGAATAAGGCCAAATAACCTTCCCCCTCAGGTATTAGATGGTTTTGTCTATAATCTCTGTTAGAATAGTCATATAGTGGTCTGTTTAACCCACTGGGACCTTCACCAAGGTCTGATACGTTTCGAGAGTCTTTACTTGAGGAATGCGGGCCATTAGATAAATTTAAAGAATTTTTTGAGTCCATATCTAATTGTGTATTATACTTTCGAGAACTTTCAGCAGGATTGGCAATTTTGCTATTTAGTCCTTTAATTTGTGAAGTGCTACGCCTGTCAAACACATCCACAGAAAGAACACCTCTGCATTTACTATTATGATAAATATCATTATTACAAAATTTGTTTCTGCTAAAATTAATAATGTACTCGTCTAATTCAGCGTCACTTTCAGTAATAAATTCAAAATCTGATGAATGGTAGCCGTCGCTACTTGTACTTTCTGTATATTCTTCGAAGGTAATAGGAATTATATCTTTCTTATTAGCTTTAGAGCTAACGTCAACATCATCTACTGTTAAATCTATAAAAATATCTGCATCATTGCTTTGTGTTTCTATTTTGTTACCGTTATCATTGTTACTTAAATTATCTTCTCTTTTAAAAAACGTAGATTCTCCACTTTCTTTATTTATACTGTTACTTTCATTAATAACATTTTCAAAGTAATTGTTAATTTCGTCCAAACCGAGATTTTCCTTGACCTCAACGCGATCTCCATCATGAATACAATCTTCAGATGTCCGCAAAATATTTTCAAATTTATTTATATCCTCTATACCTTCTCTTTTATCAACAGAATTCAGTGTATCTATAAGGTCTTCAAAATCAACCATATCTGCAGGCTCTTCCATATTCTTAGTAATGCTTAGATTATAGGGACCATCAAATACACATTCTCCTTCAATGGAATATATTTTATCACTTTGCGATAGACTGAGGTCTTCGGTATTAAATTTTATTGCGATATTTTCTATAGTTTCATTAATGGCCATGTTAGGTTATCTAAACTATATTTAATTTTGTGAAACCAAACTTTGGAAACTAAAATAATGAAGTTGCAATTGTGACATGTTATCGTAGACTGAGGGAATTTTGTGAATTTATTTGTCTGGTTTGTATTTGTAACCTTAGAAAGCTAACCGCTGAATATCAATTTATACTAGCTAGATATATTATGAGAAGGCTTCGGTTTCGAAATTTTAGATATGATTATTTGAATAATACATACCAGAAGGGTTTTCAATCATAAGTAGGGATTAAACAACTCCATGTCTTCACATAACAACGCCGAGGAAATGAAATAGGCGGGAATTAATGACAACTTACCTGTAAAGGCAAAGGTAACGAACACAAACAGCCAAAGTGTAAAGTTACCAAAAGCTTTATTTTCCCTTTATCAAATGCATGTTACAAGTTTATGTGTCATAATAATGAGTTATAAATGTTGCAATGCAACCAAAACTGTATTTCAGTGTTACATAATATACCATAGTTTAAGATGTTTTTTTTTATTTCAAATAATAACAAGATCTTAACATTTCTTACATTAGAATTTATAACCTATAAGTTAAATACAAGTGGTTATGTCACTTTTTGCCAGACTTCTTGATTCCTCCTGACACCAAAGGACCTTTTTGTGCAGCTTTTGCTTTGGCATCCTGGAAAACAAAATGAATTATTAACAAAGAAAATCAACAAACATAATGTACATTACACTGTTTAAAACTTTTAAGGTAAGTATTATAATTTAATAAAGATAAAAGGAATAAAATAAAATTGGTGAAATATCACTTTTTGGCGAATTTTATGGTAAATTAGTAAATAACATAGTATTTACTGACGATTACTACACTACCCAAATGTTCACACAAATAGAATGCCCTAGGCATTAACAGTACAAGCCACCATTGTACAAAAGTGAATTAAGTCAAAAATAAATATTTCCTAGGTATGTCTAATATTGAAACAATTTCCTTTTTATAATTGTTTCTATAACCTTTTTAGTCACAAATAATCACAAACAATAAGTACAAGCCAGTACTTTGATTAGATTGAACTTGGTTTTGCCAAAGCCTAGCTCTAACTACAAGTTACAAACCTGTAATGCTTTCTGTTGTTCTTTTAACTTCTGTTTTAGAGCAAGGTCATCATCATCTAATTCTCTTGATTCCTTCTTTGGTGCCTTTAAAGGCTTCTTTTTACCACCTTCACGGCCAGACATCTGAAATTATACAAAAAAAAATACAATGCAGATTGTGGTGCAGGAGGTCTCAGACAGAAACAACAAAACAAAATGCATATTGTAATATTCTAACATAAAGCATTTGGGTTGCCTGACAATAAGTGATTACCACCACTTATAAAAACCTGCAGCTCAACTCATTGAGGTAAAAGTATGCTCTTTTTCTAAAGATTTGAAGTTGGTTATAATTCAAAAATACTGCATGCAAAACTTATATTATCCTATTCACAATATTTTTACATGGGAATGATTGATGGGTACTGAGTGCCATGAATGTGGCATCAATTCTTAGAAAAAAAATATAAGAAACTGTTATCTGAAGCAAATCACTTCTATATAATGAAAACTTTAATGTAGTTATTATATCATATGAATGTATGGCAAAGACAATTTTCATTTTATTTCAATTTGGATAAAATCACTCAGGGGTTTTAAGAGAATTAAATCAACTGAAAATCACATGGTGGACAATAATTAATTTATCTATAATATGTATTTAGAAATGAATAAGTATTTTAACCAGCAGTCTGTCTCATCACAGGCTCTGCTTAATTTTGGATCAGACCACCGTGTGTGAGATGTGTGAAGTTATTATTATTAGGGGTTAAAGAATGAAATTGCCCATTTGGTTTCAATTTCATCAAAATATTGACCCTCATCATCTATACATTGCTGCCATCTAAATGGAAGTTCATTTATGCCTTTACAATAGAGCTCTGGGCATCTAGATTAGACAAGCTGTGTGACAGCATTTCATTACACATTATTTTTAATATAATATTTTGACAGTGTGTATATTTTTATATTTTGATTTAATACTAGCTGGTACCAGTGACTTTGTTTGCGTGGAATCTGACAAAAATGCTGCCTTAATGGGTTCAATTCCCAGACCAGATTATTATATAGACAGCTACCCAGTAGTTAAATATTATCAAAATCGGTCCAGCCGTTTAGAAGATTACCCGGGACAAACAGACAAAAATAATAATCTGGTTTTTAGGCATAGGTATGGTGCAAATAACCGTTTGAGCATGAAAAAAACCTATTATTTTGATTTTACAAACAGACACTTAAATTTTATTTATTTGTATAGAGTATAGATAGCAAACATTAATGTTTTAAAGGAAAAAGTACAATATTCCTGTAATATTAAATCAAAATATGTTTGACAGTCACTATTGCAATTATAAAAAATATCTAATAGTGTAAGTCAACTTAATATAGCACCCAGCTTTAAACAACAGACTAATCTTAAGATCCGTTGGTCTGAATGAGTGCTTAGTAACAAAAAGGTACCTCTGTTTAGGCAAATATTGCATTGTATGTATTTAACCTGGCTTTTGTTAAAATATAATACTAAATGAACATAAAATTAGGTTATAAATATTGAGGCCTAGTCATTTCAATGTGGAACAACAAAATAATTATAATATAATAACAAATGGCATCAAAATAATTTTACTTAAATCTACAACAGCACTAAGACAATACTTTTGAAAGTACGTATAAACATTTTATAAAACCCTAACTTTTACACAAATCGGAGCAGAAAACAGTTTATTTGCATGAGATATTAAAAAATACCACGTAGATATTTAGAATCGTTTTGGATAACCTCTTTGGTGACTAACGGTGTTATGGAAAGATAAGTATTTTACTAGTAATGATCAGAATTTAAAGTACTATATTATATTGAATACTTACATTTTTAGATGTAGGTAAAGAAGATTTTAATAACACGAACTGTAGGTATTAGTATGACGAAATCACGCTACTTCAAGCAGGGTTTAATAAAATGACAAATGATTAATGAATGACTTAATGACAATTTGGCACAGTGTTGCTAACTTGCAAAAATAATTTATACTAAATCTTAGTTTGAACACTGTTTATGATAATAAATAAAATGAAGCAATGCTCAAGCTATACTCGTACATTTTGAGTGTATGGTAATTATTGGTGATTTTCCCTTGTACAGAAAATTAGTCCACACTAGAATATTATAGTTTGTACTGACGCTGCGTATGCTTAATAAATAAAAGTTTTTCATCCTTGGCCCTAAAATTTCATGCTTTTACATGCATAAATATGTATTTATATCAGTCGTCTAGTACCCATAGCACAAGCTTGCTTGCTTAGTTTGGCACTAGACGGCGTTGCGTGAATGTGGTAGAGTATTATTATATTATTATTCTTAACAAAAACTTCTAATATGTACAGTGATGGTAATGTGAGAATGTTATGTCTGACAAAAAGTGGTCTACAGCTTTCCGTGCCCTCGATACCAAATATGGCGCGAATACATCGCTTCTGCATTTTGAAAATTATTTCCCTATGAGTTGAGTTGCCCCAAAAGATTATACCATACCTGAGTACTGACTCGATAAGGCCATAATATGCCACGAAGTGCATACAAGGAACTGCAAATTTTCTTACTAAGCGTGTCAACATGTTCTTTCCAATTTAATTTCGTATCTATTATTAAACCCAGACATCGACCAGTAGACACTTCTTTTATTGGCGTATTATTATGTACTATATTTAATTATTAGATGGATATTGAAGTCTTTGCCCAAAGTGAATTATACTCGTTTTTTGCAAATTAATTTTCAAATTATTAGTATCCAACCATGAAATCATTGATGTCAATGCGTTTTTAATGTCAAAATTATAGGTATCAATGTCATTAGCTGGAATTATTATTGTACTATCATCAGCAAATAAAGTCATAATATATTGTTCAGTTGATTTTGGTAAATCATTAATATAAATAATTAATAAAAGTGGTCCAAGGACACTACCTTGAGGTACACCATAAGATACATACTGTTTCATAGAAGTATGTTTTTCTTCAACTTTTATATTGAAGTTTACTCTGTTAATTTCAGTAACCTGCTGACGATCCTAAATAGCACGTCATTGTTTGGTCAACTCGGTTAAAGAGCACTTCCCTGACAGCCACACCAGCACTGTAAGCATCACCGTAGACAAGCAAGCACGAGAAGCAAAATCACCAGGTTTTGAGGCCATTTAGACGCTAAGTCTAAATTAGTCTTGAACAGATTTATACAGATTTATACAGTTTTTCACTCCGGCCCACTTTCTACAAGATAGCAAGGTGCAAGTTCGAACACAGTTGGAATTCTATACGAACGTGGTCACCGTGACGATCGAGTTGATATGAAATAAACTCACTAAATGAAATTTGGCATAGACATTGGATTATAGTCTCGAATAGAACATAGACCGTAGTCTATGTCAAAATTTGGTATTTTTCTATAAAACCTAACGCAAATATATTTCTTTACAAATTATAAAACACACATAACTTACTTGACTCTTAATTTAGAGTTCCACTGCGTCTATGAGTCAGTTGACGCCAATTTTTTACATTTTATAAAGTAAATAGTGTAGGTATAATTTCATTATGATTGTTTACTATGTCATCAAACATTTGTTGTGGGTCAAATTATGTGTAATATGAGTCCGTGGAGTGTAATATTATGTACACATGTGTCTTGACAATGAGTCATATGAAACATGGACTGTGAATTTGTAGGAATCTCGGTATTTCGAAGTGTAGTCGCTTGTGGTGCAATTGTGTTGGTTGTTATTTTAGACAGGTGTGAGTCAGGGGGTCCTTTGCGTACAGTTATGTCATTGCCACACCGGAATTCCAAGTCTCTCTGTTGAGAACACTATATCATCTACAGCCTTAAGTAGACTACTGCTGAAAATAGGTCTCTCCTTGGAAAAGAGGGTTTGGCCTACTATACCACGATGGTCAGACGGGTTGGTATAGGGTCTGTTTCAATTTTTGCTTCCTTGCAGTACTTTTATCTTTCGATGTTGTCTTGTGTAGTTTGCTCCCTTAGTCGGCACTTACCGACACCCGTGGGATATAGGGGTAGTGACTGTAAAGTCATATCGAGAGATGTCCTGAAAAATTATTGTCCAAAAAAAGTCTACCAGGTTCATTGACACACTTAACAGTTAATCGAGAATACCTTTTTTTTTGGAACGAAGTTCCTTATCGCGCGTTGTGAAGCGGGGCTAGACGGAAAAAATTCATACGAAAATTTGGAACGACACTTTTAATATAAATTGACGTCTAACTGTGGATACTATACATTAAATTTGCTGTAACGTTCGCCAACGTCCATACCATGTTGAATACACCGGTTCTCGTCCAATCACCGAAGTTAAGCAACATCGGGCGTGGTTAGTACTTGGATGGGTGACCGCCTGGGAATACCACGTGATGTTGGCTTTTTGCTCTTTATTTTCGTGTCATCTTGTCAGACATTCAGCGCCATCTATCGAATAGATAGGAAATCATTTCGCAAGGAGATTTTACCAATGTATAAATTGTTTTAATTGTTTTTAATATGTAGGTAATAGCCGCTTTCATAGATGGCGTTGTAATTAAAATCGTGTCAAATCAGTTTTACTAGATCGTCACAACTTCGTTCCTATCGGGTGTCCCACGACACCGCACGGCTTTTTAGTTAATTCGAAAACAATTTCCAAATTTGAAACGAATTAAAATAAAAGAGGTCATATACGAGTAAAACTTTTGTTCACATTTTTTTTAATATTTATTAATTCCCTTCATAATTTGTTGATTTAGAAAGCTTTGCGTTTAAAGACAACGAAAAGCTTTCTAAATCAACAAATAAATTCACAATACTCTTTTAATTATTTTTATTTTCTTTTTTATTCTTTCTCTGCGTTCTCTATCGCATATATCATGGAGTGTGCTCTAAGAAATTGTTCGGACTAATACCAACGGCAAATTTCCGCCCTCGTGCCACACGGCAAAATTTTTATACTCATCACCTAGATTAGTGCTAGATAGTTAGTGCTCCACTACTGTGTGCTTTTCGAGATACTTTTTGCCCCGCATAACCATTGTCTGCGGTATTTCCGGACCGATACGACCTTCAAACCTTAAAGAAAAGAGAGTACTCCTTCCTAAAAGGCCGGCAACGCGTTTGTGACTCCTGAGTTGCAGATGTTTATAGGCGGCGATGGTCACTTTCCATTAGGTGACCCGTTTGCTCGCCACCTCTAACATAAAAAAAAACACCAGATATTTAAAACAAGTTTGGGAAGTTGTATTAGGAGCATAGGAGATTACCAAATTGGGCCCTCTTGAACCCATAAAATAACCGTCTATGATACGTCATTTATCACTGCTTAGTTTAACCACTAAAGCGACATCTAACGTTAGTTCGACTACATACTTTGTAGTAGTAAGTACTGTGTTCTCTAGGTAGCGTTCAAATCGGATCTTATCTAAATAATAGCCAAAAAACACTGGTGATTTTTTTATGTTGATGATGATGATGATGTAGCCAACCCTTGACTCTGTTTCCCTAAAATCAAGAGGAGGAGGGGCTTTGGCTCTGGTAACTTAACTCATTGTCCATGTGGTGACGGAATTAAAATACGGAGTGTCACCACTCCTGCTCATTCCGTGGGTGTCGTAAGAGCAAAGTACGCAGGAAAACAGCACTGCAAAGAGACAGAAAACTTGAAACAAACCCCACACCCACCCGTCTGGCCAGCGTGGTATAAGTAGGCCAAAATCTCATTTCTAAGGAGAGGCCAATGTCAAGCAGTGGATTAGGAAAGGCTGTTGATGATGATGAACCTCATTGTTTCGATAAAAAGCAACAGAAGAAGTGCTATACACCGGATTTCTGTGATGTCGTGAAACCACTCCAGTCGATCTGGCCCATTTTTGCAAAAGCGTGGTTCTGACAAGGTTATTTGACTTTTTTATTAAAAAAACTCAGAAATATAATATATTTATATATATATATATATATATTAACATATATTGCTATAAATCACATTATTTCAAGTTACATTTAGACTTGGCAGTTAGTCTGACACTCCTCGAGACTATAGAATCTGTTGTCGTTGCCTTGACACCCTCCGTAAATAAATTTCTCACATCCTTGAGTATTTACGTCAAAAGCGAACCTGAAAAATGAAATTATATTAATTATATATTTGCTCACGTATACAAGCATAGCAGATTACCAAGAGCAAAACCCTGTCAAGTCCGAAACTGGGGCATCTCCGAAATATACCCGTCAGTAAAACTAATCACTGTGGACGTAGTTACACAAAAAGGATCCAATCCACAAAACTACCAAAATTGAGTTAAGTATGCCAAAAAGTCCGTGAAGGTCGATACTTTAATGCAGTAAAAAGATTCCAGTGAAATACGAAACAGTGTCATTGTTATCAACACAAGGTACCAGTCCACATGTATGGCGGCCATTTGTTTTGAAGCAACTAAAACAATCCAATCTCCCCTTTAATTTGTGAATACCTGTGAATTGCTTCGTTTTTACTTTATTATAATTTTTACCTTACGTTATTTTTGCTGTTGGTATTCGGCACAGAATAAAGTAAAAAAATTGACGCACGTCTGAGGTAAAAAATAAAAAAAGTAGGGTCAGATGTCCTACAATGAAACAGTCGTCGAAATATCTAAAAAGACGCCCTCCAGTTCAGAATACCCCAGATTGCCTCTGTGCCGCGTGAGAAAAGACCTGTGTGCGGTGCATTTTTCAGTTTTTCGACAAAAATGTAAGTATTTTTAGCATTCTTTACAATTTTTTATTTAAATTATTGATGGTAACTTTATATTTTACATGGTAACATACCTAGCATTAAATATATTTCCTAGATTAATGTGGAATACATATTGAACCACGGAATGCTAAGAAATAGATCTCATAGTTCTCTCTCATAGTTATATGATTATATATCTATCTATGATTGAACTTCACATATATGCATTTAAATAAATGAATACATTTTTATGTGCCTGTTTGACTACTATAGCGTTATTTTGTTTTAAATTATGGTATCAAGGGGCTAGACAGATCATGTGATAGTAAGTAACTACCACTGTTCTTGAAAACTTGCAACTCACAAGTGCGTTGCCGCCATTTGAGTTCCTCCTCCAAAATACAGGGAGAGAGGGTATGTTCCCTTCAAATTTTCTGTGTATTGTAAATTGTATTTTAAAGTTTTACATATTAGTGGATACATATTTGAGGTAAATAAATAAAACCATAGGTACGAGTAGTCAACAATTAAACGATTCGTAAAGGACACAATGAAACACTGTATCATTGTGTGGGTATCATATCACATCAAGTAATTTCCATGCAAATTAATAACAGTTGTGTCGCTAGTGATTAATCTTAATATTTATTTTTCTTTTAAGATGCCGCGTACTACAACTAAAAGGCAAGAAAGACGATTATTCAAGGGTTTTGTTTTCATTTTTTTTTCCGTGTGGTGACGGATTAAGAATATAGAGTGTCACCACCCTTATTTATCCCGTGGGTGTCGTAAAAGCCGACTAAGGGAAAAAACTACACAGAACAACAGCACTGCAGAGAGAAGGAAAAACTTGACACAAACCCTATAACAACCCGTCTCTGGCCAGGGTATTATAGTAGGTCAAAACCTCCTTTCTAAGGAGAGGCCTATGTCCAGCAGTGGACTAGTAAAGGTAGAGGCTGTTGATGTGATGTGTGTGATGATTTTTTTTCCTGAATTTTAATACTCAGACAAGGAAAAACTTACGAAAAGCTGCAGAAAAATGCAATGTGACATACATTGCAATGTGAGATGCATTTTTGGTTTATAAAAATATAAGAATATGGATGTTGCATCTTTTAAAGGTCAGAGATTTACTCCCAACTATGAAGTTAATAAAACGTTTATTTTTGAAATGAAGAAACGCATAAAGAAGAAGATTATTATTAGCAAGAAGAAGAATCAAAGAAGAAGATTATGCGTGCGCCATATTGCTTATCAAATAGCGAAAGTAAATAATATCCAATATCCTGTTAGTTGGGCAAAAGGCCAAATAGCAGGTATTGAATGGCTTCGGTCTTAAAAATCAAGGCATCGAGAGTTAACATTAAGAAACCTGAAGTATGAAGCATGGCGCGTGCCACAAAAAAACGGATTGCTGAAGAAAGAAGAAAAACATTTATATAGAAAATTAGATATTCTTGTTAAAAAAGTTTTTTTTATTACCTTATATACCTTGAATAGTCTTGTGAACGTGAAATTAAGAATAAAACCTTTTATAATTGAACTCAAGTATTTTTTGTCATTTACCTGGTCCATAAATTACACAAAATATGAGACATGTAATGTTTCATTGTGTACATCACTGTGGACCCAATGAAACCCATTTCCAATTTTTTTATTTTTGTTTGTTACTGGTAGATTACACATTAATTAAATAAATTACAAATGACAGAACAACAATACTGCAGAGAGAAGGAAAACTTGACACAAACCCTATACCAACCCGTCTGGCCAGCGTGGTATAGTAGGCCAAAACCTCCTTTCTAAGGAGAGGCTTATGTCCAACAGTCTACTATTAAAGGCTGTTGATGTGATGATGTATTGTGACACAATAAAATTACGTAAATGCCTGAAAAAAAAATGTCAATTTTTATCTGTATATGCCAAAGGTCTATGAGACTGAATTTTTAATGTTTCATTGTTCGACACAATGACATGACCCTACATCTGCATTGAGAATCTCCTCCATTTAATGATCAAAAAACTTTGCGGATTCGATTCCCACTCGAATCAAAGAATTTTGAGCATAAACATTTAATGTTTGATTTTGTCTGGGTATGCATTTAATGTAAGTATTTTAAAAAAAAGTATTAATGTTTTTATATCAGTGTTCTAGTACCCATAGTACAAACTCTGCTTAGTTTGGGACTAGATGCAGTTGTGTGAAATTTTTAAGGTAAGTTAAAAACTTTATCTCTTGTAAAAACAAAAGTTGTTTTGTCCTTGTAACTTAGATTTGTAATTTTATCTAAGTTACAAGGACTTTTCGATACCTAGAGTTCGTTAGATTAGTCTGAACATACATACATTTCATTGTATCCGAAGCAATTTCCAGAATCAATCGGTTGCGAACATTTGGGATCTGTAATCAAGCACAATGATCACGAAAGAGAATATTCACAGGCGTGTTAAATACAGATTCTTGAACTCAAAATATCTTTGTTTCATAAATTTGTTTGAAATCGTCTTATTATAAATAAAAGATTTCATTTCGACTGTAAAGTCATAGATCAACACACACAATAGCAACAATCTCTGTTTTGTCATTTTTTTTATGGTATAAGAGGGCAAACGAGCAGACGGTGATATTAAGCAACTACCGCCGCCCATGGACACCTGCAACTCAACTCTAGGGGGATTTGATAAATGATAAATGATATTTATTTCTGTAAGTAAATCTTTTCAGATATTTTTACAAGTCGGACTTTATAGCTAGAAGGAGCCGGCTCCGGTAACCTCACTCACTCAGTGAAAGGCAACGAAAAAATTGCTTAACACCGGTTTTCTGAGAGGGCGTGGTATCACTCCGGACGAAAAGGCCCAGAAAAAATAAATATAAGTAACTATATCTTGTATAGTAGGCCAAAACATCCTTTCTAAGGAGAGGCTTAAGCGAGCAGTGGACTACTGAAGGCTGTTGATGTGATGATGATGTGATATCTTGTATGCAGGTAAGAACAAATGATGTATACTACCTTTTTTAGCTATCGCGATTCATTTATACTTATATCACAAATGTGAACGTGAGTCTGTTTGTTAGCCTTCAAACCTAAACCATTAAACATATTTTAAAAATTCTTTCACCAATGGATTAGTAATTAAGATATACAAAAAACGTTCTTACCGACTTCGGACATCGCCAGACCCACAAACAAAATTAAGAAGAAGCAAACGTATTTCATGTTAAAGCCTTGACTAACGATAACTATTGTTGTATCAGTTTTAATATAAACTCGTTTCTTCGTTTTATACAGTACTTGTTACTATAGGGAGGCATTCAATATTAAGTATTTAAAAATAAATAAATATTACTAGTGATTGTCCGTGGTTCCGCCCGCTAGCATGTCGGTTATCATGTTAAAAATTAGCCTATGTCCTTCCTCAAGAATCAAAGTACAAACATGCCAAATTTCATAAAAATCAGTTCAGCGGTTTAGTCGTGAAAGCGTAACAGACAGACAGATTTACGCCTACGATTTTATGGCCTTGTATTTCCTGAAGGACATTTTTTGCCAGGTCGGATGATATAACACACACTCCTATACAAATAATATATGGCTTACTAACGGATACCCGCGACTTCGTTCGTGTGGAATTTCAAAAGCGTGGCTTTATTAGGTTCAATTCCCGATTCGAGAGCCTAAGTTACCCCGTATATAGACAGCTACCACGTAGTAAAATATTATCAAATCCGTTCTTTTAAACGCCTCGATCCAGCCGTTTAAAAGATTACAGACACTTCAATTTTATTTATTTGTATATATTTACTTGCATGCGTTATACAACTCCTCCGCATCATATTCTACCTAATGTAATTGTCCGTGTGGTTACGGATTTAGAATACGGAGTGTCACCACCCCTATTCCTCCCGTGCGTGTCGTAAGAGCCGACTAAGGGAGCATACTACACAGGCCAACAGCACTGCAAAGAGAAGGAAAAATTGATGCCAACCCTATACCAATCCGTCTGGCCAAAACGTCCTTTTAAAGAGAGACCCATGTCCAGCCAGCGGACTACTAATGGCTGTGGATGATGATGATGTACCAAGAAAATTAATCCATACTAAAATATTATAAATTCGAAAGTGTGTCTGTCGGCCTGTTACCTCTGAACCGATTTAGGTGAAATTGGGTATGGATATAGTTTAGTTAATTATATGTTTTAAAATACAATTTATTCGCTCTACTAAATCCCTCTCTGCAATATTGTCGCTGTGTCAATAATTATCAGCAAAGTTTAGAGATAATGTGACCTGAATTTGACCTGAAGACTAGTCGTTATGATACATATTATTTTGGCTGTTTACAAGGTATTACTTTGATATATATTTTACCATTAACCGACCTATCGATTAGGAAAAGAGGTTCGTGGAAGTTTTAGTCCTCCTAACCTTTTGTTTTAATTATATTGCTTACAAGATAAAACCAGTTATTCACGTGCAAAGTGTGAAATAGGCAGCATTTTTACTTTAGAACCATTGTTCTATGGCTGTTCAACATTCGCAGGTAGTAGTCGGTATACCTTCTCCCCAATTATATCTATGAAGGCGCTTCGGATTATTAGCCGGGCCATATGAGCCCCAGCGTGGTTAGAAGATATAAGAGTCAGATACGAGGAGAGAGTACAGGGTTCCGACTTTGCGGCAATAGCCATTTCAAGTTACAGGTATGCTACTGCTACTTACAAGTTTTTTTTTCTTTCTTCAATCTTTGTTTATTTTTTCTTATATTTTATATTTTTCTTCCTTCCACTACAAAAATCTTCAATGTCTGTCGAAGTTCTTGTGTGACAAGAGGGTATCCATATAATGGTATTTATTGTTGGTAACATGACGAGTAAATGAGACAAGTCCAGTTTATTACTTTATTTGTCCTTAACGTAACGTTTTAGATCTAGAAATTTTGAGTTGAAGAGCAACTTTGGGTCAGCTGGTAACTATAGTTGACAAAGACGAATCGAAGGCAATAGGAGAAGCGGATCGTACTCAATGCGGCAGGCTTTGGAATAAGTGTCGATTACCCATAGGAAGATGACGGTAATTGTCTGCTGGACCAGTACCGGACTTGTACATCACAGCTTCTTACCGACTGGTACAATAGTGATGTCTATTCCCAAGAACTGCAAACAATGATGGAGAACCTCACAAATCAACAACCAAGACTGGTTAATCACTCTTCCCTAATGATTCTCCACAACAAAGCTATCTGAGTTACAGCTGGAAGCTCTCTGTCATCCACCGCACTCACCGGACCTTAACCCAACAGATTTCAAAATTTCAAAATTTAGTCATTTTTTTAAGTGGGAAAAAATTTAACACCCTAGAGGCAGTACAAAACGCTTTCGCTGACTTCATCGCTTCCCGTTCAGCAGACTTCTACAGTAAAGGGTTCAACAAACTGCCATCAAAATAGCTAAATTGTATAGATAATTTGGACCAGTACTTTCATTAGCTAAAAAAAAAATAACCAACATTTTATATTTTAAAATTTTCATATAAATCTCCAACTTCATAGGTAAATACCTAATACTTAGGAATTTAAAAGCTTTGCGGTTGGTTAATAAGTATATGTAATTGATATAATTTTCTCATCAAAATTTAACTCTCATAACTTAAATAAAACTCAAAATATCTTTATTTCATTAAAAAAATAAATTGCTTCAACACTGTTTTGATGTGTGCCAGTAAGTAAGTTTTAAGGACTAAACGGTAAAAAGGCAATGAAGAGAAAGCAAGATATAGAAAAAAGACGCAATAAAAAAGAAAGTGTCTAGTAAAATATTAAAAAATGGAAATTTAAATTAAAGAGACACTAACCCACATCACATTTCCACTACGAAAAAGCCTGTGCTAAATAAATAAATAAATCTCAAGTATTCTTGTCTTCTATGTAGTCCACAATTGAGTAATAGACTTTCTGACATTGTTTTGACATAGTTTACGTAAGAAAATAAATAGAAATAAAAGTGAGTAAATAGCAAGTGCAATTATTAATAATAATAATATATCACTTTATTGTACACCAGATATAAATAAAAATAGTTACCTAAAACTAGTCCAGTACAAGTGGCGCCCTTATCGCCCAGAGGCAATCTCTTACAGGCAACCGTGGTATGGAGAGAAAACATGAAGAGGAGGAGGTATTGGGTAGTTGCTGGTGTGTTAGGAAAGAAGAATAAGAAGAAGAAATCAAAGTAGTATATACATAACTATAAAAAGTGATAATTACACATAATATATATTTGTTGACCTTAGGTGAATATAAAACATACTAGGGGGAAAATATGGTGTTATTAGATACATGTAATTAGATACGACGATTTTTAAGTTATAAATACATATTATATTATAAGAAAAAGTGTGACCTAATCGACTTAGAAGAAGTTAATTGACGTTGCCGTCTTCCAGGTAGTACTCTTTCACTTGTTTCTTAAATGAGGCAAGTGATTGTGCCCGTCTGATTGCGACCGGTAGGGTATTCCACAAAAATGCCCAGGTTTTTTACGCTATCGCTGTACGGAATAAGTGTGCCGTTGCAAGTGATTTGAGGCAGATTTGTCCAGTCAATTTTGGAGATCATTCTCGAACTTCCAACAACAATGACCTGAGTTTTAGTTCTAGGTCATCATTTGTGATGCCAACAGCATCAGCCAGATTACCTAGTGTAGCCCTAGAATAGATCTGGAGATCATCTGCATACAGGTGGTAGGAAGACGATAGATCATTAGTGATAGTGTTGATAAAAACAGAGAAAAGTAGGGGAGATAGCACGCCGCCCTGCGGTACACCGGCTGTAGTACTACACCAAGATGAAACAGTGCTCTCAATACTAATGCGCTGCCGGCGACCAAGCAGGTAGTTGCGAAACCAGTCAATCGCAGTTGGAGATATGTTAAGAGTGCGTAATGTACACAGCAGAACGTCAAAGTCGACCGTGTTGAAAGCGTTACTGAAGTCCAGCAGTGTTAGAACTGTAAGCTCGCCGTTCTCCATAGCAGATCTGATATCCTCCGTAATATGGACTAGGGTAGTAGTGGTACTGTGACCAGGTCGAAAACCGGACTGGAGAGGATTTAGGAGCACGTTTCTGGATAGGAAATTCGTGAGTTGAGAATGAATAAGACGTTCAAGGACCTTGGATAGAAAAGGGAGGACTGAAATAGGGCGGTAATCGGAGAAGGATGCGGGGTTTTTCTTTTTGGGGATGGGTATAACTTCAGCATCCTTCCAAGCCGTTGGAAATACGCTGTAGGTAATTGAAAAGTTTAGTATGTGACAAACAACAGGAAGGATTTCATCGAGGATTGGGAGGATCATATTGCGGCTTAGACAGTCAGAACCCACTGCATTTGAAGTAATAGACA